AGAGTGCGCACATGGTGTCCGACATTAGTTTGTGCCGGCAGATGAGGTAACGGTCATGGTTCACGTTCACGTGATGATATCAGATTCATGTTCATGTTAATGTTCAGGTTATGTATATGCCAGGATCATGATATTGTTATTATATTCACTGTTTACTTTAGTATGAATTTCCACGGAGCATAGTGTTATAGTGCTCACGACCCACTTTTATCATGTTTTTCAGGTCAGGATGTCAGGCTGGAGGTGTGAGACGACGGATGATTCAGGACTTATATGCTTATGACTGTATATATTTTGATGATACTATGTTTCCGCTATTTTTTATGTTTTGACGAACTTATCTTTTGATCAAACTTTCAGATAATTAATGTTTTCAATAAACCGTAGATTTTGCTAAAAGTAAAATAACGGTTTTTCAGAATAAGTCAGGTTTTACGGTAGAACCTCGAATCAGTTTTCGCAAATTAAAAGTTTTTATTTTAAAAGACTTTGCGAAATTATGCACTATGATTTTACGATAAGGTGGGGTGTTACAAATGGTATCAGAGCACGTTTTTGCGTCTCTGAAAATTTCTATGAGTCAAGAATTTTCAGAAAAACCTGAACCGTCACGCTCACGCCTCACCGACTACAGGTAAGTGCTGATTTATGTTTTCAGTTATAAACATATTACTTTGTCTATGCTCAGAAATTTGTTAATCAGGACTTAGTTAAGATGCTCGAATCAGGTACAGACCTTAAAGATCAGTGTACTCAGATACAACTCTAGACTTCCTCAGGATCGATATCAGTATTTTCTAGTCATGTTTAGCAACTCGTCAAGAAATTTGTGTGCTTTATTGATCAGTTTCAATAAAGTCATCAGTAAGGATGTCTGGATCAGAATTCAGAACCTTAAAAAGGGGCTAAATTAAGAACTCTAGATTAAACTCTAGATTTATTCACGTCAAGTTCATGATTCGTCAAGAGATTTGTAAGCACTTATGTTGTACAAATCTTAGCAATCATGTTCCTCAGATATTTTTCTATCGAAAATTGCCATTTTGCCAATCAATTCGCAGATTCCAAGGAGGAATTCCTTGATTCAACTCAAGGAATAGACTCGAGTTCCTAAGTCAGAACAGTAAATCATGTTCAAGCGAAAAGTTTCATGTTAAAGGTTGTTATATTTTTTCAAGCCATTGTTAAAGTGACGGTTTCCAGTGTATAAGAGTCAATAGTCCGGGTTACCATGGAGGCTTGAAATAAGAGCCACTCAGTCGGGTATACTATGGAGGCTTGAAGCTGGGGTCGGAGCAGTATGATTTCATGTAATCACAACCTTTAAAGTCAGTCATGTCATGTATTTTTCAGTTAGGATACTTCAAGTTAAGGTTTTCAAAGATCAAGATCAGCAAATTCCTTTGTACTTGCGGGACCAGTTGTTACTGGAACAGCCCTATACAGTACATAGTCAAGAGTCAACGTTCAAGATTTAAGGTTAATGTTCATGATTTAAGGTCGACGTATAATAGTTATTCAGCCGGGTTAAATATGGAGGTCTGCAATACAGACTATTAATCCAATTCTACCTGGAAACTTGAAGTAGCACCTTATCAAGTCAAGTAAATTAGTAAATGTCATGTTCCAAATTCCGAGGCGACTATTTAGTTGTCTCGAGATAGCTTCAGAGTTCAGGTAAAGATGACTCAGTCATGATTATTCAGTTATGTGAATATCCAGGCCAGTCATGTCAAGATCAAGGATGTTGTGTCTAATAAGATAAGACTTATCAATCAATTCAAGTATAATCAGTGCCTCGATTCTCAAATTTTGAGAATTTGAGAAATCGTAGGAAAGATTAGTTCATGATAGACTTTTCTTGAGGTTATGTTAAACCTCCGGGAAGGTAAAGATTTGCAGGTACAACGGAGAAGGGCCAATCAACAACACCAGACCACGCCGTGGAGACAAACCGACGCTCTCCATTCAAGGATGCATGTCGCAAGAAAAGAAGGATGCCTGTCTGAGTTACAGTACATAGGAGATTACAGAAAGTTAGCATTATAGTACATTGAGGTTACTAGCTTGAGATACAGATACGATCAGACTACGTCGACGCTGCAGGTGCAACGTTCGCCAGGTGCTGTATGTAGGCGTGCCGCACTCACTTGATGAGGAGCAAGTGTGCCGCATTACAATGTGCCGCGAACGATGTGCCACGTCATCGTGTAGATTTTCACGAAAGGTAGTTACTGATATTGCTAGTTATCCTCATTTGTACATGTGCGTATCTCTGGAATTTTCCGAGTGTACCAACGACCGGGGTTTGTCCACCATCAGTATTCAGACCGAAGATCAGCAAGCAGCCAGGAAATGATGACCAGTGCGCTCAAAAATTACGTTTTGAGATCATGTGTAATCAGTAAAACACTTTATTTCAGGAGAGTGTCCATTTTCAGTCAGTAGTAATCAACAATTCACTTAATTGTGAATTGATGACTCCTCAATTCAGATCAAGTCCATTATTCAGTATTAAAATACTGAATTCTCAAGTCATGTAATCAGTAAGTAAAAGCTTTATGTTAAGCTCGTACGTCCAGTTTTAGTATTTCCGAGTACGAAAATATTTTAAGGAGGGTGGATTGTAACACCCCGAGTTTTA